TTCGACAGCATACACGTCGGAGAAGTAAATATTGCCACTAATATTATTCATGCTACCACCCATTTTAATATGTTAGACAGTGAATTCGTTCTCTCTTGACATATGGAAGCAGTTTCGTTGCAGTTATCAATGCAGAAATCCACGATTTGGCCGCCCACTTCCTGATATTTACCCCTTTGGACTGCCGCCGAAAATAAATTTCTGAGGCCCACACCAACTCACCAAAAATCGGCCAAATATTCTGCACAGGTCCATACCAGGCCTATCCTCGATCCCGGGCAGAAAAAACCCCATTTTTAGCACGTGTGAATGTCGCTATTCACTGATTACTCTTACGTGGCCCACTTCCCAGCGGGATATAGTACTTTCGACGGAAGAAGACCTAAGGTCCTCCGGTTGTAACAGTAATGGTGGGAATGGAAAGAAATGCTGCACGATAGGTCACTTCTCCTTTGCGCGTATAAAGGATGTGCAAGGATGCCAGAGTACAGTGAGACCGTAAAATGAGTGCATTGATGTTGGGAATGGCGACATCCAGGGTGTCCGGGATTGGAGAGCAGGAGTGGTGAATAATTCCAGGAGCCATTGGTGACCAAAGCCGTCTCCGAACTTCAGTGATGCAGGTGCCTCAGAGGCATCACAGGCAATACGTTCCCACTAGCGTTACTGTTAAGATAGTCGCAGCGAAACTACCGAAGGGCAGCGGAATGCTGTAAGATTTCGGTGCATTCAGATACAGACAAAAGGTATGCAGAAATGCTCGTTAACTATGACCACGGCAGTTGAATCTCGAAAGGCCCAAAGTCGTTGGAAAGGGCGACCTGCTTTAAAAGTGGTGCATTACTGAACGGCGATATTGCATCCAGAGAATCGGTCCCTCCTGCATAGTGGGTGGGGCATAAAGTCAGGACACGGAGTAAGGGGAAGTCCGCTCCAATCAATTGAAGTGATTCAATGGGCAGCATGAAGTCGATGTGTCCCCAGCGCTCAGAATGAGGTATGATGGCTTGGATGAAATCGACTTGAGCAGCCGAGTGGAGGATTGCAGGGAAATTAATAGAGGAATTTTTTTTCGAGGTGAGCGGCCACAAGCTTAAGCAGAGCTCTTGACAGATGCATCCATTCTGTTTGCCAGAGTTAATGATGTGACCCTAAGTTTTATCAGAAAATATACTGAGGTGGCTAAAAGCTGATATAAGCTCACAGGGAACAAGGAGCTACTTGAGTGCAATGAGCTGGCACAGAAGATGGGGGCGAAGAGTAAAGATGTCAATTGAGGCTATGCTAGACTACGGGGAGATGATATATATACATCGTGTATCAAAGAAGTGATAAATAGCTGTATTCGGACTGACGCGAACAAACAATCATATCCTGACAAGTTTCCTTCATCATGCCACCATTTCGCGCGCCTTTTCGTAATGTAAGATTTGATCTCGTGTTTTCTTTTAGATTCCACTTCCACTCATCCTGACCTGGAGGCTCTTCCAGGCACCTACGTGTCATCGAAAAAGTAGACTGCCATAATCTCTCGTAGTCCTGAAGCTTTAAAACCCGTCGCAGGTGACTCGACTCACACATTGAACTTCCAGTTCAACACCACGCAAATGGTCAAATTTCTGTACAACATCACTGCCCTCGCAGGTGCCGCTACAGTATGCAAGATCTTCGCCTTTAGGAGCTCAGTCCTGACCATCGCCGGCGGTCTGGGGGAGAATGAAATTGCTGTCGTTGGTGCTTACGATGGAAGCCGTCAATGTGCCCCATTCCTTTATGCAGAGCTTCACAATTGCGCTGTGTCGGTATTTTTCAGCCTACAGTCTTGTTCCTGATACTGAGTTAAAGTACAGCGATCTGAATGCTTGCGTGTCAGATCCAAGCGAAATTCGAAACCCGATAATTTTTGGTTGGTGAATGTTCTGGGTTTTCATTGTGTCATTTATAATGTTATGGCTTGTTCGGAAAGTAGTGAAAATTTGACCCCTCGGATGATATTTTGTTCAAAGATTATATTCTCTAGAACGCCCGTCATTGCCCGACGGCAGGTATACGTTCGCTTTGCACATCCATTGTTGCATCACACTTTTTTTTTTTTTCGTGCGCGCACCATTCACCATCAATTATTATCCAGACCCAGCCATTAGGCAGGAATTTAACATTTAGGGGGGAAGGCATGCTGGTCGCTGTTACAGTCGAAGAGGTCGGCCGAAGACTGGCGGGCAAAGACAAAGAAGTGATTTGTGTTATGGGTAGCGAGGAGAAGAGATGGGTTGTGGACAGAATCACTCGACTCTTTTATACCTTTTTCATCGCCATCTTTCTCTTAGGAGGATAGGAGTCGAATTGGAGTGTGAGGCACGCTGATGGTTTTGGGTAAGGCTCCAACTATCATTATTTATAAATGGAAAATTGTTTTCATTTACCCAGGGCCTCGCAAACCGTAAACTAATGTTCATTAACGGTTTAAGCGGTTAGCTGGCACTGCCTGCTAACCCTAACCCTAGCCCCCTCGATCGCCTGAGTTATCGCTTCTTAGGTATTTTTAAATGGTACTCGAGAACCTACGTGGGCTTAAGAAATGTATGTGCACTTCTTTTCGAGGGGGATGCAAAGTACATGTTGACAGAAGTGGTGGGTAGTGTTCCCGTGGCCCAGTGAAGCCTGAGCGAGGCCGAACCCAGTGCAGATCGGCACGCAGGGTTTTATTAAACCGTGGGAAAACTCGTGATCTAGCCAAGACATTCATGTGGACTCACTTTCAGCGCAGTTGAAAAAATTATAATCCTTTTTGGACTGGTTACTCACCGTTTCTGTTTTGTTTATGGATCTCCATGAATAAATAAAAATGGTTGGAGCCTTGTTTCACCTTGGCGTCTCAACCAGGCTCGTAATCATCTCATGCCATTGTTAATAGAGAGGCTGCGATGCAGTCATCAGAGCCACTCAATGCCTTTACGAAGTTGCGGGAGTCCCAGGTGTGGAGCCATCCATTGGCGCAACGCCATAAGCCCATCAGGTGGCTCCGATGGGTGCATCGCAAAGTTGCTAATGTATAGCCCCCAGTGGCTGTCCAACTTTCCCGGGACTCGGGAGGTCATCAATGTCATTTTGTCGTCATCCAAGCAAGTAGAGTTGATTCTTGCGGTTTCCTAATGACCCGGTTCATCGGGTACGCCGCCTGGCACACGTTCCGCAAACAATCCACGAAGGATTCCACTCTGGTGCTCGAAGCATAAAAATTTGGAACTACTGGGGTGCAGATTCATGGCTGAAATCCTCAATCTCTACCGACGAGTACCGCAAGCCGACGTAGCTGACGGAATTCTGCCATCTTCCTGGCTCGGCATCCACGGCTGGCCCAGACTTGGGCTGGTGTCGGTGGGGGTTGTAGTTTTTTGGGGGGGTCTTTTATTGCGCTCATTTCTTCGCTTTGGTTGCTGCATCCATGTCTTCTTGCGTTCCCCGCCTTCGGAGCGTGCGTCAAGCCCCAGAATCCTCCCTGTTTTTTTTTTTCATAGTCCACCCCGTCTATTCCGTTGCCCCGTCCCGTTGGCCAGAGGCGCCATTGTGTAGGCGGGCGCTTGTGCATACTCGTACTCTTTTCCCCGGACCTCCGAGCAGTAGCCATTCTGAAATATAAGCTCTTCGAACTGCTGAACCCTTACCCTTGGCTGCGTCAGCTCGGGCTCCGAGTTGGAGGAGCCGGTGGGCACGAAGGCGGGCTCCATTATGTGGCTATGGTAGAGATGAAATGAGGCAGATGCACCAGTAGCTGTATACCTTTTGAGATCCTCAGGACAGGTGCAGTTCGTGGTTGGAGGCAAGGTCGGTCGTGGCACAGAGACAAATATTGTTTGTTCCTGTATTTGACCTGGCAGTCCGGCAACCCACGTGAACGTGTCTTTCCAACGCTCCCCAACGCCTCTTTCTGGCGTCCATGCTACTTATTCCGTTCCACACACGCTCTCGTTGATGTAAGTATGAATTCTTCTATTGAGGAACTCGGGTTCCCAGAGAAACCTCTCCGAAGTGAGGTTCCCCATCAGTGATGCCAGCGACTCTGAGCGCTCACATCGTCTAGTTTTGCGTATAAAGATAGGCGTCAAAGGTTCTGAATGTAATGCCTCGCCCTAAGCTTTATAGAATTTTTATCCAGGAATGAACTGTGACAAAATCGGGCAGGCCATATTTCAATCATGGAACTGTACAATCGATACTGGCACAATTACCATCCGCTGGATATTGTCGAAAATAGCAGGCAACATTCTTGGGATCTTGTCCTATCTTATAGTATAGTCTCCAAAATTTTCCAATCCCAAGGGCGAGTGCAGGGCAGTTGCCGAGATTAATTGAACTTCCCCTGATCCCAATCAAAAAGGATGATATCCTTATTTTTCAGTGAGAACAGGCACGCGGCGGGTAAATATGTTCACAGAAAATGTACAGTATATTGGATCGTGGCGCTGGAATATTTAGAGCATACAGAGCGACATATACAATGGGGGACGGGACTTCAATTAGATCTTTGTACCCTATTCACTGCATTCAGCGGGTCCCTAAAAGCGTAAAAGTGTAAAATCTCTGTTCAGCTGGTGTACTGGGAAATCTTGAGGGAGAAGGAAAAAATTCACCAATGGGCTGAACAACCTAACCTCGATTCGAACGAGGGACTTCCGCATAATGAGTACATCACAAAGTGCAGTGGACGCGATGCCAATTTTGCCATTAGGTCTTCCTCCCATTTACCTTCCCTGTGTGATTGTTTCGGGCTTTTTGGTGGGGCGAATAAAAAGAGCTGGGTTGGGGCCTGACAGGACCTAACCTCGATTCGAACGAGGGACTTCCACATACGCACTGGCTTTCAAAGGGCCGACGAAGCGTGGATACGATGCAATTTTTCGCTATTAGGTCTTTCTCCTTCAAGTTTCTGTTTCGACTTTGAGTACTGCGAAATCTTGTGGGTGAGTCAAAAAAAAAAAAAGTGCTAGAGTAACTGGCCATGACCTAACCTCAAGTCGAACGAGGGACTTCCACATCAACATTGTTTGCCCTCAGGGGGAGTGGATGCGATGTCGACTTCGCTATCAGGTCTTCTTGCTATGAACTTGAACCTAAACTAGTGTGAAATTACTTCAGGCTTTTGGGTGGGCTGAATTAAAATGATTCGGTTGGCAGGAAGAATGACATAATCCCGTTTTAGACGAGGGACTTGCACAGTAATGGTACTTTACGGGCCAGGTACAGTGTATGTGTTGTCGGCTTCGCTATTATGTCTTGTTCCTATAGTACTGAACCTTGATGATGCAAAATATTTCAGCAATTCTGGGATTGAAAAAAAAAGACCAACAGATGGCAGAAGGACCTAACCTCGGTTCGAACGAGGGACTTCCACTTCGACCTTACCCAATACCAACTGAGGTGTCGTGGATGCGATACCAACTTCGCTATTAGATCTTCCTCCCCTTTACCTACCCTTCGATAGGTGTGTGTGATTATTTCGGGCTATTGTGTGGGATGAAAACAAAAATAATATCGGGACAAGACCCTCGATTCTAACGAGGTCCCACATAAACCCCATTGCGCAAGCCAAGGTGCAGTGGACATGATACCATTTTCGCTGTTAGGTCTTCCTCCCCTTTACTTGCCAGGCTTGGATAGGTGTCGGGCGGGCGTGAATAAGAGAAATCAGAGAGGACGAAGGACTTCCACATGAACCATAGGCTTTCAACTTTCATGGGGAGTGGATGTGATGCCGGTTTCTCTGTTAGATATTCCTGGTATAGTTCTGCACCTTGCTTGTTGTGTGATTGTTGCGGAGATTGAAAAAAGAAAGGCAAGCGGTGGGCCCACAGGCCTAACCTCGGTTCGAACGAGGGACTTCCACATAATCGGTGCAGTGGACGCGATGGCGGGTTCCCTATTAGGTCTTGTTTCTCTAATTCTGAATCTGGATTACTGCACAATTATGAGCGCTTCTACCGGGGCAAAAAAAAAGCATGGATACCCGGCACGACCTGGTCGAACGAGGGACTTCCACATAATCGGTGCAGTGGACGCGATGCCGGCTTCCCTGTTAGGTCTTCCTGGTATGACTGCGCGCCTTGCTTGGTGGCAGATTTTTTTGGGGCTTTTGGAGTGAGTTGAATAAAAATTAACGAGGGCAGGGGCGGAGGACCTAACCTCGGTTCGAACGAGGGACTTTCACATAAACGTCATTGGTATAAACCAAGGTGCAGTGGATGCGATACCATTTTCGCTATTAGGTCTTCCTGGTATAATTATGCACCTTGCTTGGTAGCAGATTATTTGGGGGCTTTTGGAGTGAGTTGAATAAAAAAAGTATAACGCTAGCAGAGGAAGCGAAGGACCTAACCTCGGTTCGAACGAGGGACTTGCACATAATTCCCAGGCCATCGCGATTCGCACCAGGTGCAGTGGATGCGATGCCGGCTTCGCTATTAGGTCTTCCTGGTATAATTATGCACCTTGCTTGGTAGCAGATTATGTGGGGCTTTTGGGTAGGTCGAATGGGAAAAAATGAATTAATTACCTGATAGCAGACTTGAATAGCGAACTTGAAGCCTCGAGTCGACCGAGGGACTCCTTCCATATAGACAAACAATTCCCACGTAGGTGTGGTGGACGCAATGCCATTTTCATTAGCACTGTTAGCTCCTTCTCCTGTAATCCTGGACCAGACTTCGGGGTGAAAGTGAAAAAGAAAGATGTGGGGCACTAGAACACGACTCGAGCGAGGGTCTTCCACATGCCTTATATCAAGATGAAAGGGGTGTGGACGCGGTACTAATTTCGCTATTACTATTAGGTCTTGTTCATATAAATCGAGAGTTTTTAACAAGCTTTTGATTTTGTTGCGCACAAGTTGCGCATTTTGCGCAGATTTTGCAAGTGTGATAGAAAGAGTCATATGAGCCGATATTGCATGCAAGCCGGACCACAGATGCAAGTACGCGCAGACGTTGAGCCGACGGGGATTGGCGCTTGGTGGGCGGAAACAAGCTGGCGGAGCTGACGTAATCCCGTTCAGGCTTGTGCCAGCCCCCTCGCCTCTCCTCGACAGCGCCGAGAGTATCGCTTGGAATACGAGTGATAGGATGAGATACCGCAGCTCATAAGGGGATCGCGGGTGAGGGCGGGAGCTGGGGGTGAATTGACATTGCGAGAGAGAGGTGAGCGGATTGTGAACGACACTTTCTGGCGACTCGGCGCACGGCTTTGGGTGCCTGTTTCTCTGTATTTGGCGACTGGAGGACCTGCGTTCTCGCGTTATCTATCCGGCGCCTCGAGTCTGCGTTGTTTCGGCCTACTCGTTACCTTCGCGGTCCATCTCCTCGTGCGTTCGTGTCGCACTCCCTTTATCGCGTTCGGTCTATCCTCAGCTTTTCTCCTCCCGTCCTTCCACTCCTCGCCTCTACCGCCCCACCCCGCCCCGCCCCTCACCTCCATGTCGTGATCGTATTTCACCCTGCCGTTCTCCGCCTTGCTTTTCCTCACGTCTCCGCATCCGTCCTCCCCTTCACCTGCTCACCTCATCTTACATCTTCCTCCCAACGTATTATCACCTCCCCTGCGCGGACTTCCTCCTTTTGCATACTTGAATGTGATACAGTGTGCGTTCGCATCGGTCTCCCTTTTCGTCTCTTCATTCAGCTCCGCTCCCCATGCCGACCTCACCTCATCCACCTCCGGGGAACGCGTCGCGCCGCACTCTTCCGCCGCCGCCCCCCTTCCTCGTCTGTCCTTCCCCTCCCCATTTGTCTTCCTTTCTATCCATTTCACATCGCCCTCCCTTATATCATATTCATTCCTCCCTTACACACTATCCCAGTCATCCTCTCCCCGCCTTTCATACTCTGCCAGGTGCCCGCTCTTCGCGCCTCGCGTCGCCCGCGCGCCTTTTTTCGTCCGGCATTCATCGCTCACGCCTCCCCACGTTCTTTCTCACCCGCCCCGCGCTTCTTCTCACCCGCCCCACGTTCCTCTCCCCGTCTCGCGTCTCCCTGCCCATCTGCCCATCCCCCGCTCTCAGAAACCGTCCTCCCCGTACCCATCCTTCCTTTACTCCTCCTTTTCCCATATTCTGTGCCCATGACCAATACTAACTCTCCCTCCCCTCGTAGCTGTGCCCCCGTACAACCGAAATCACTGTCGACGGCGGAGCCACAGCAGCATCAAGTCCGCGCCGAGTCCGAGTGGTGGTGGAGGAGGAGCGTGCTGCCGCGGCGCCCGACGACGACGCCCGAGGCTGGTCGTGTGGCTGGTGACGCCGACGCCGACGGCTAGTGGGAGCGCGAGCGGGCCAACGGCTAGTGGCCGCACGGCGGAGGAGCGAAGGACGGATGGGAGCAGCACCGCCAATATGCAGCGCGCGGCCGAAGTGATGGAAGGAGGCAGACGCGGCGGCGTGCCTGCTTGAGGCGGACGGGGAGGGATGCTCGTGTGGGCTGTGAATGGCGTCGTCTCCCTTCCCCTGTCCTCCACTCGCACTTGCGCTCCGGACCCTCCGTCCGGCGTTGGTGTCAGATTCCCGTGGCCCGTCTACGTCCATATCGCTCGCGGGAGATGACGGGCCCGACGAAAGCAGATGGGGCTGACGCAGGAGACGCTCATGGGAGCAAGGGGGACTTGCGTGGAGAGGTGCAGGTGGGGCTGAAGGCGAAGGAAGCGTCGCGCGGGTGGGCGGTGTATTCCGTCGTGCGATACGTTCGCTTCGATATGACCTCTCGCGGCGCCACTTCGACCCCGGCGTCCTTCTGCACCATCTCCGTCTTTGTCCATATCCACCCCGACTCTGCAAGTACCTGCCCCGCTACTGCACTTGCGTCTACAGGGTCATGGAAACGAGGGACAGCGCGGGATCGGCGGGGTCGTTCGGGAGCGCGCGCGCGTCGAAGGCTTCTGGATCGCCGGCGTCTGCGTCTAGATCGTCGGGGCCACCATCTACTGCGGCGCCGACACAAGCACCAAACGCGACGCCTCCCGTGGCTCGTCTACGCCGCGCGTACATCCATAGCGCGGGAGGTGGCGACGCCGACGACGGGAAAACAGATGAGGCTGACGCAGGGGACGCTCAAGGGAGGGGCGAAGAGGACGTGCGCGGGGAGGTGTAGGTAGGGCGGAAGGTGAAGCGTCCGCCTGCGCGTGCGCAGATGGACGTCGTGCCACACGTTAGCCTCGACCTGCCGCACCATTTCGACCCCCGACGTCCTTCCACATCATCTCTGTCGTTGTCCGTATCCACCCCGACACCGCAGGCACCTGCCTTGCACCTCCACTTGCATCTCCAGGGTCGATAGCCGACGCCAGTTGCGCGCATGGATAGCGCGGGGTCGGCGGGGTCGTTCGGCGGCTCGCCGCCGTTGCTTGCGTCTGGTTCGCCGGGGAGGCCGCCGTCTACTACGGCGACACAAGCGCGCACTGATGCCCCCCGCGCCACAGAAACCAGCACCAATAGCCTACGCCGGTAGCGCGCATGGACAGCGCGGGGTCGTTCGGGACCACAGGCATGTCCCAACCGATGTCTGCATCTTGATCCCCGGGTACGCCGCTATCTGCTACGCCGACACAAGCGCGCACACTGATGCCCCCCGCGCCGTCATCCTCGCTCGCGGCGGCAGCCGCCGTATACGGAGCGACGTATACGTGGAGTGCGGGGGCGGGGATGGTGCAGACGCACAGGCAGGGACAGACGCTGTGTACTGGTAGTGCGCAGACTCCACAGATCGGACGTCGCATATCGGCGGTACGCAGACTCCGCATACGGGCGAGACGCAGACCCCGCATACGGGCGAGGCAAAGCCCGGCACAAGGGCGCGGGGCTGGGCGGGCACGGATGGGGAAGTATCCGTATCCATGGGGGTATCCGTGGGGTTATTAACCGTCCGCTGTGGGGAGAGGGTGCGGGCGAGCGGCAGGTGCTGCCAGTGGGCACAAGCAAATTCTTCAGGTCTGCATGTGTAACGTCTGCACGCACAACCCCGCCCGCCCGCGCGCGCAGAAGGAGGCGAGTGGTGATGTGGTTCTTCTCGTCTGGCTTCCTCGGGTTCTGTGCGTCGAGTCTTGTATATACG